GATGAGAATCTCGTTACGTCTCTCAGTATAATCAGTGGATCAAAGCCTCCAGATGATGGAAGGACGTAGTAACTAAGGGTCTATCGAGTCCACTTTGATCGATTGTCTTACTTTGTGAGGAGCTGATGCAGGCCTCACTCTCCCGTGTAAAGACTGAACTAATACCGCTGCGTGATAAGTCTGCGATAAGGGCAGATGGCGTGACAGGAAACCATGCACTTTGACTGGACAACAACCCAACGCGATCTCGAAGTAGCCGCGTCGATAACTATGATTAGTTACGCCGTATATGAAGGGGTTGACGCAGCAAGAGACAAACACTAAGGTAGAGGTCCAGTGGTATGATGGGAAGGTCATGTCTGTGATCTCAAACAGTGACAGTAAATGTAACACTTGATAAGGTATCGAAAATGACATCATTGAGAGTAACGCAATCTTCACCATACGCATTCTTCCTTGGCGACTGCGAATGGCGCGGCCATTGGGTAAAACTTGGTTCTTTTGGATTCGTGTTTTGAAAAGCATGTGAAAATAGATTCCCGTCATCATCCCTGAAGGTACAGCTACATTCAGAATCAGCTGAATCACCGCCAATATTTTCCTGTGTGTTACTGAAATTGTCTTCCCGATGCTGCATATATCTAAGTTATCAGACTTACTGTCATCAAAGAAAACCTCAAAGAGTCGTGGTGTTGACGATAGCAACGCAAGGAGCCATATGGCCACAGATCCACCAATCAACCATCTCTTGTTCAAATTTGTTTGGTAAGCTAATGGTTTGACCACAGCACACCAACGTTTGTACGTCAGGACGAGGCAAATATACACTGAAGCGTTGCTGAATGTGAACGCAATCCATGTTAACCAAATAGGGCAACAAGAAACCTTGGTCTGTAAATCGTGTTCACCTTTCCAGTGTTTCCACCCGTTCAACGTGATCGTTGAAGTAACCAAGAGAAGTATGGCCGTCAATAAATCAGTGATGGCCAAGAGTAGCAAGAAAACGTTATATGATTTTTTAAGCAAAACTCTGTTTTTCGCAAATAAAATGCAAACTAACGAGTTTGCACTTAACGCCAAGCTTGAAATAACGGCATAAGCCACGTTGATAGCTTCTTTGCCGTTCTGATCATCAGCCATTTTTGTTCCTTCCTTGCAAAGATTTTTCAAGCTTCTGTTCTTAAAAAGAGACCTACCGTCGAAGTCCCCAACGCCTTCTTCTTCAGTGACAAATTATATAATGGAAGCATTTGCTGATGAAATCCAAGTAAACTAATTTCGCGTCAATGAAATGACGAATTTGGTAAAACAACGGAAGTAACAATCGAGATACTGTGTATCGCAAAACTCTTTGCCTGCGATAATACTTTGCTTACGTAAAATAAAACGTTTCGTACAATGAAACATTTATCAATTTTGCGGAAAATCGCTCAGAACTAACGCTGTGAAAAAGGGTGTTTCACCGCCAAGTTAACTGTCTGCAGATCTCGATCTACCCTACGGCAAAGTTCTGATGATGTGACTGATTAGTTTTACAAGTGAAAACGAAATAAAGTGGACCAAAATTTATTTTAAGCCTTCGAATAAAAACACAGCTTGGATTGAAATGCCCGTTTAAAAAAAAAAAACTTTTGTTATCATAAATGGATAGAAGCAAAGAACGGCTACGTGTACAACCTTGAAAACTTTTCAAGTCATCACACATTTCTTGAATATTTTGGAAAGTTTAATAGTCTTACGTAAAAGGCGGTAGTACCAGCGCGGTTAATGACAATTTTGTTTCCGTATTTAGTTCCTCATCATATATGAGTGACCCTAGGGAAATGTCTAATTACTGATATCTTTTTCCTGAATTTAACTTATTCAAAGAAAAGTTTTACAGAACGAGCTTGTGTGTCAAATAAACTGATGATTCCACGTAAGGTAACAAAGAAATGAACAAACAACAAACGAGCAAATTTATGAAAGATATCTTGGGGAGCATTTACAAACAGTCTCTTGTCTAAGTTTAGATAAAAAAAAGCAAAGAAATCAATAATTTTCAACCGACTGCGCGTTCAGAATTCTAAATAGTTTTTTACTAACCGTGGTTGAACCCAGAAATTAATGAAAAACCTACAATCTGTATTTGAGATATTTTAACAGACTTAATAATTCAGTTACGTCATTTTCTTATTAGATAAATGTAGCTGAAGTTATTTTACACTTCAAGGTAAGAAAATAAGCTTCGCGTAGGTTTTCACTAGATTAGATATTTGCCTCTTTTTAGATTTCGATCTTACGATCTGCCTCTTACAGAGTATAAAAAAAACATGGAAAAAATCACTTTTGAATATTCCAGATTTCTTTTTTCCACACGCCAAAGAGTTATTTCCACAAGGTTGCCGAAAGAGGTCTGGTTACTAAACTTCTTTAGACCGAGTGAAGACTGGAGAGTATGAACTCAACATGGCGGACGATCAGTAGCGAATTTCTTGCCACAGCAATAATTTTAAGATCCATCAAAGAACAAAATGCTTCAGCATTGAGCGTAGCTTTCTGAAAAATGCTTACTCCTGTATTCGAACTTAGCCAAGACGATGAGTTTGTTTGTGTGATGATCAAGACCCCATATGTCAAGGTAAGCGATTCACCCAGGGTCTTCACGCGTACGTATCGTAAAGGATAAAAACACATGGAACGATTTCCTAATTAAATCAACCTGCTTTAGAAATAGAAAATAGCTAGTTATTCCTTATTGTAGTTATTTTTTTATCATGTTTTGCTTTGAAAACTTAGATTTTTTTGTCACCTGTAGATTGCTGATGTCGATTTCTTCATCAATGACACAGAATTTAAATTTTATGTCAAGCCATACTTTCTGAGGTAAGCTATCAAGATCGTATATAAAGCAGGAATAGAAAAAGACTTTGACCTGGAACCTGGAATAAAATTGTGCCAGCGTGAAAACAAAAACAAAACAAAACAAAACAAAAATACACTAAATTAATCAGTATTCAGGATGTGAAGTGTTTGCACGACCGCTTTCACTCCAAAGATCTCATGAGTAATTCTCCTTATTGTCTGCTTTACAGATCTTTTTATGTTACTTTGGAGAATTTAGTTTTTGATCAACTAATAATCTTCAAATTGATATTTTTCTCCATTTTCATCACTTATCTGCTTGGTATGGTATTTCTAATGTCAGGAGAAATTCTATGTTGGTCACTCATGGGATTTAGAGGATTTGCATGGGGTGGCCATAAGAGAGCAAAACATGACATGCAGAGATACAACAGAAGCAACTGCACAAGTTCTCTGATTTGGATCACAACACAAGAGGATTCCTCAAAAACTTGTTTATCAACCCTTGGGTGGATGGTTGACTCAACCCTTTAACTCTCATAAGTGATAAACATATAACTTCTCCCTGTAATATTCATACATTATCCAGCAAACAGGTAATGAGAATACTCAAATTTATCGGGCAGAAGTTGATCTAACACTGAATTCTCATAAGTAAGTTACAAGGAAATGTGTTGCAGCTGGAGGGGAGAATTAACAATCAGATCTTGGGAGTTAAAAGGTTAAAAAAGAGGAAATACCCCAAGCAAACTTCAGTCCACTGCACTTTCACCTAAATTTTATGCACTGGTCATCATTTGATTTTTTATGCAGTGTGGGGTTGTAAATAATTATAGATTAAAATTACTTTTTTCTCCCAGGCTTAATTTACCAGGAAAGATTACTGAAGATGGAAGGGAGTCTGCATCTTATGATGTTGAGAAAGGTGAGATGTATATTCTTTGTGTATCCAACAGAGGCAGAGGCCAGTTGCCTGTGAGACTATATTGTCGCTGACCAATAGTTATTATTTGTTAACAAAATTAACAGAAATGAAACATTTTGTGAATTTCTTAAAAAATTATACCTTTTTTTTCAAACCTCCAAAATGTCTTACTAAATTTTTTATCACCAATGGAAAAGGTTTTTTGTAGTTCTGAACATCTGAACAGTGTTAAAATTATTTACTCTTCATTTTGTTACTTTCCTTTTACCGTAGGAACATTTTCAATAAAGCTTCCTAAGCTCCATGCTGGAGAGACCTTTGAGAACTTGGATCTGTTAACAACTTTACTAGCTCCTAAAAAGAAGGCCTCTTTAAATGTTAAGCCTCTCATTGAAGTTGTTGGTAAGTGTAGTTTATTAATTTTGCACATTTATGATCATGTTAGATTGTATTCTGTTGGACAACTGTTCTGTACAGTTATAGTTATTAAATCAGATGACAGCCATTAATTTTTTTTTTTTTAAGGAAGTGATACCATAACAGAAGTTGATGACCAAGAAGATGAGAGCAACAGTGATGAGGAATTTGACTGGGAATTTGAGCAACATTTACCTCAGGTAACATTTACTCTAAAACTTTTGGAGGATAATTGTTAGCTTTCAATTCTAACTCAAATGGTAAAATACCATCTCTTCATGTTTGCAGGATAATGCAGAAATTACTCTTGGTGTAACCAAATATGGATTTGCCAACCAAAAGGGTGGAATTTTTAAAGGCAGAGAGGTACTGGGCATGTTAAGTAGTCTTGCTATAGGATGGGAGAGCATGGGTATTGATGCTGCAGTGATAAGAGGACTTGCATGTACAGGGTACATCATCTGCATCCTGCATTATATTACTGTGACAGATGGGGTACATCTCTCTGATGAGCACAGGTGTGGTTTCTTGTTGGTGCTCACCCATGCTCCAGGCCCTTCCAGCCACAACTATTATTTTTCACGCATTAATAGTTTGCAATTTTTCATTTCATTTCAAATTGTCTAATTTTAATTGTGATAAAAATTTAAGGTCTCGCTGAACTCACTATTATTATTACAAGGCCACCACCTCTCCTTACTTATTTTGTGTATGTTGTGGTTGTTTTTGTTTGTTTGTTTATCTTGTAGCACAATTTCTTTCAAAGTTGCAAATTTTGAACTGGAGTTTCAGATGTAACTTGACATACTGGTGTTGTTTAACAGGCAGAGCTTCTTGAAATAGCTGAAATAACTGATCCTGATTCAATGGCACCAAGTGAGAGACGAGGAAACAGGCAGGCAGCTGAAGATGCAAAGTTTGATGAGGAATATTATTTGTAAGATAAATACCTGCATACGGCAACAACTTAAAAATTGAGAAACCCAGTTGTGTTAACATTTTAACAATTTGTGTGCAACAAGGTATTTGAGACAGCTTACTTTTTCATGGCGTCATAAATTTTATGTTGCCCATATGTCACAGTGTAGGATGTTAAACAGGTAATGACTGATTACAGGGAAGTTTACTCTTGAGATAGAACAGTGGTCCTGTTAAGCTATTTGGGTAGGCCTTGGTGCACTGAAATGAAGCTTCACAAACAGATTAAAAATAACTGCAGTGAAATTTTCATTATTGTTGTCAAATGGATCTGTTTTAGGCTATAGGCACATACGCTGTCAAACACCTCTGTTGGTCCATCCTGTTTGAATGTATGGCTACAGTTATTGTAAGTTACAGTACTTTCCTTCCTTTTCAGGGCAGATTATTTCAATGTTGATCAAATTCAACATCTCTTGGATTACAAGCCTCCTTGGGACACTTACTTGCAACAGCACAAAGAAAACTCTTTTGAGGTAGTGCATTTTTATAGTCCATTTCACATGCAGTTGCATGCTTGGTTGCCAAGTCTTTGAACAGGAGTGAGGCTAAAGGTGACCTTGTTTTGAATCAAATGTTGCTGCTTTTAAGGAAAATTTTGTTGTTATCATGCCAGCTAGATACTGTTCTTTATCACAACAAGGTCACCTTCAGCCTCACTCCAAATCAAGGGCTTGACAACTAAGTACACTACTGTTAAATGCCCTACAGTATTATGGATTGGAAAAAGTTCTGCTTTTAGGAATGATTATGTTAGAGAGTTTGGCAACATTACATGTAAATATAGCCACATCTCAAAAAAGTTTTTTTGAAGATCACCAAAAAACAACCTAGATAATCTGGTTTGTTTGGTAGTTTACATTACTCATCAATCAGACAGGAACATATAAGGATTGAAAAAAAACCTCAAATCCTTAAAAAATATTGTTTCTTTTGACATAATAATAATTTTAATAGTAATAATGATAATAAAAATTTTGTGTTGTTATTGTAACCACCTAATGAGTAGCAGATGAACTTTGTCAAGGCAGATTTCTTGTAAACTAAGACTGTTAATATTGTAATGGAATGTTTTATAATTGAATAACTTTCAAGAGTTTTGTTGGTTGTCGTTACAAATGGCTTTACCTTTTTGCCAGACAATCAGCTGTTTAAAATTTGAACACTATTTTTCAGGATGAGGCAAAGTATTCAAATGAGCAAGAAGAGAAAACAGGTACTCTTTGTAATCATTGCTTGTGAGTGTCTTCAAATGAAAGTTATCTAAGAACTGATGATCTTCATGGTCTAACTTCTTCTCTTAATTTAACTGCACTGTTCATGAAACAGGCTTTGAGAATACAGATTTTTTGTATCAGTCCAGAAAAGTTTATGTTGATTTGATACAAGTTGTCTTAAATAACCTTCTAAAAAGTGTAGGCAGCTGAAGGGGAGAGTTTCAACTTAGAACTTGGGCGTTATAATGTTTAATATTGTAGTGAAGCCGAAACACCTTGAACATTCTACCTTAGTCTGTGATTTTGACAGAATATAGTGAAAATGAAACTTCATTTCAATGTAACCCATCACAAAGATGTTCCATATCATGGAGAAACTTATTTTTATCTTATAAGAGTCGATGAACCTTTTTATCAATTTACAAGTGCAGTGTGTAAGTGGAAATCTACTTTTTCTTTTGCAGTTCAGTTTACAGCTGAAGAGAAAGACCAGCTGAGAAGACTTCCAAATAAAGATTATATCCTTTTACCATGTAAAATATAATCTAGTTCAAATTTCTGAATTCTACTTGAGTAGCAAGTATTGTTTGCCTCAGAGCAAAAATCTTGAGTTTGGTTGGTAGCTTGGGGTAAAAGAGTGAGTTTTATGTTTAGAAATCTTCTTTTGTGGTATATACCAAAACAAATTTTCAGCTATAAGTTAGTGTTGGTGCTGTAGAAAGATAGAAAATACCAATTTTAGTTTTGGTCTTGGAGCCTGGTGCACACAAATATGTACCACTAACCATATCCATTTCCATGGCTATTTGCTTGCTATGAACAGTATAAAGAACTTTTGATTATTTTGATTTGTTTGAAATAGTAGTTGTTATGATACTATGAGTGAATTTTGATTTTGAAGCTTGCATCATTTATGTTGTCTTTTTTCCTACAGTTGTTTTTATATTAATTTTTTTATTCATGTGTGGTATCCATGTTTCACAATGCATGCATTTGTTATCCAATGGTTACTAACATCATATATGAGAACCCTTAACAAATTATAAACCTTTTTGATGACAAAGAAGAGTTACTACTATTCCTTGGCCTTGTTGATATCATCTTTGCTTATGCTTATAATCATCGCACCACAGAAGGAGAGAACACGGTAAACAATTCAAAAATACAGTGTGTACTGGTAACATAAATAAATGCGAATATATGAAAGTCATATATTTTAACTGCGGATCTTTGCAGTAATGAACATTACTTAAACAGAAGTGAAAAGAAGGCCTGAAAAAAATTCAGGCCTGTACGGGATTTGAACCCATGACCTCTGCAATACCAGTGCAGTGCTCTACCAACTGAGCTAACAAGCCAACTGGGAGCTGGTCATTGTGTTGGTTCCAAATAAACCCATGAAGTGGTGAATAAACGGCTTTGAATATATGAAAGTCATATATCTGAACTGCGGATAAAGACGTGAATATGAAGGCGATCTTCACCTCATGGGTTCAAATCCCGTACAGGCCTGAATTTTTTTTCAGGCCTTCTTTTCACTACTGTTTAAGTAGTGTTCATTACTGTGAAGATCGCCTTCATATTCACTGGTAACACAGTTCACAGATCTTCCCTGTTTCCTTCAAGCTTAAGGTGTTCATTTCCCTTTCATCCATATGGACTTGAGTGGGCATGGCTTCATTTGGAGCATCTCTTAACCCTTTGACTCTCAGATCAAATTTGTAATTCTCCTTACTGTCAACCATACAATTCTTATAATGTTAGTTCAGAGATTTTAGTATTGGATCAACTTATTATCCCCAAATTGATATATTTCTTTATTCTCATCACTTATCTAGTTGATATTGTATTTGATATTGTAAGGAGAAATTCTGTCTTGGTCACTCATGGGAGTTAAAGGGTTAAAATCACACTTTATATAATAAGCTCAACTATGCACGCATTCTGATTGGTTCTCACTTATGATCTATTGGAGGACAGACGTATACATGACGTCATCATTAAAACTTTTTTTAATTCTTTGTTATATAAGACAAATAGATTCCAAGTTGCCGTGCGTCTGTTCAGTAATAGATCACAGAGGACATCAAAATGTGGTAAGAACAAAAAAGTGGCACACGGGGCGCAGCCAACTTGGAATCTATTTGTAAAACTGATAATAGCATAAATACTTGAGTTCTACCTTACATCGCATTAAAACTAACAGTTCTTTTCATCTTGTTTGAAGAATTTTACACGTAATAATTAACAAAAATGTTGTTTGGCAGGTGGAATCGCCTTGGACCATTTCACGAATTAGCTCCACGTTCTCATGGTTTGATGTAAGACAATTTTTAATCTTTTACACCTTACTATCAGTCTGCATATTCTCCATACTGTTCATTATACATTTCCAGAAGTGCTGACAAGGAGAATTTTCTCAACAATCAAGAGCTCTTTAGTTGGTGATCATTTCCTTGCGTGGAATCTATTTCTCAATTACAGCCTGAGTTCCCTAATATGCATCACGGTCACATACCACCCGTCCCTAAATGCGTGTAAGATGTTTGCGTAGGAGCCCTGTGCTAGGAAATTCCGTGCGCGAAGTCAGATATTGAATATGGAGGCATTTATTTATTTATTTAATATTTAATTTTTTGGTTTTCTCAGTCGTTTAGCAGCATCCATGATGTCATAATTTCTTGTGCCCGCCGATCTTTATCGTATCCTCTCTATCGACACTGGTCTTTGGTCACTGCAGTTGTTGAAGACACCAAAAGAATATTTTCCCTGGGTATGTAGCCGTTAAGTCTTTTTTGTGTGAAGCATAACTGTTTTTCACGTTGCGGAATTAAAATTCTCAATTATTATAAAAGAGTAAGTCTCTGGTTTGAGCCACACTTTATTCAATATAAAACGCATGACATTGGAAAAGACAAAAGAGGCCCTTTGCCTTCGTTTTCTTCTCGGTTTTCCGGCACCCCTCTCCTCCCGGAATTATTTATGGTTGCCATCGAATTGTAAGGAATTTTGGTGAAGTGAAGGGGGGGGGTTACCTGAAACGAAGAAGCATTATCCTATCTAGGGGGAGTAGTAATACTCTTAGTCGTATCATGCTCTAGAAGCCAGTATAGGCACTGACAATATCGCGCTAATATTGGCATTACAATGGGGGGTTAGAGGTTAAAAACTTTATTCCTTGGTAGGTCGTCGACAGCTATTGAGATGTTTACTGGAACTCCATGCCCTGTGTCGGGAAGACGACCCTTGGTTTCTGTTAAATGATCTCTATTTGACTGACTACTGTGTCTGGATTCAAAAAGCTAGGTAAGATGCTTTTGGGTTACACGAATTTCTGTGTACTGTATCTCGGAGGTCGGGCGTTTCCAAGCACTATGAATGAAGGGTGTAAGATTCTAAAGAAACTGTGGTGCTGCATTGGTGGGAGAGTATAACAGGGTAATTTAATACTATCAACTGAGTTGATAACGTAAATTGGCCACCGTAAAGAATTCATGCTCGATTGTCTGGATTTGGGAGAAGATTGACTTAATACAATGATAGGTATGGGTATAGGCTAGCCTTGTCAAGGCGTTGCCTCATTACGATGTTATTATTTTATCTCTTGAAACAGCCGAAAGAAGCTTTCTTCTTTGGCGAGAAGCCTCGAACAGGTATTTGACAATCATTGTATTACCTCTAGGTCCACACACTATACAGACTCATATATACTACTTGTAAGATCTTATTCCAGTTTCCGTTGCATGAAGCCGCAGTTTTCTTTTCCTTATTTTTAGAGCTCCTGGTTGGTAAGAATTACTGTAAGAGTAAGGTTCCTTGTTAGAAACCACTGAAAACTGTGGCTGGAGTTCATGGTTGGACCTGTCGATCAAGACTCCAGCGCGTTAATCATTCGGCGAGCGCCTCTTCCTTCGAAGCGCAATTGTTGCTGAGTTGCGCTCGGAGCACTGTCCACAAAAAAGATAATGAGATAAAGTGAACTTATCAGGAAGAGGGTATACTGAGCCCTTTAACTTCCAAGATCTGATTGTTAATTCTCCCCTCCAGTTTTTACACAATTCCTGGCAAATAGGTTAGGAGAATTTGGTATTGGATCAAGATAACAACTTCTACCTGATAAGTTTGGGTACTCTCATTTGCCCTTTGCTGGATAATGTATGGATATAATAGGGAGAAAATTCATGTTAATCACTTTTGGGAGTTAAAGGTTTAATTAACTGATTTCCAAAATTTAAAGCTTTGGGCGCACACTGATAAAGATTGGGCGAACTTGTTTTACTTCAAGGGGCGATTTGGCAATGGTGGTGGGGGCGAACTTGTAAGGGGGCGAGACCTACATAACCAGGAGGAAATAATGGGCCATTGTTTTCTTCTGCCGTGACTCATTTCAAAAGATATGTGGTGGTACCAGCCAGGAGGGAAATTCAGTTATCAGATTTCACGAGTTCAAGAAGTCAGGGGCGGAAAAGACTGCGTTATTCTTTCTATTCTCAGTTTTCGAAGCCATAGTAGCTGCCTGAAAGAAAAATGTGACGTGGTATTTTGAGTAAAATGGAAGCCAAAGTGCGGCAAAACTCGTCAATTTTAAGTTTTCCTTTTATGTCGTTTAGGTTCAGATAAGTAAAGGTGACTTGTCTTGGCAGTTAGAAGAACTGGAACTGGCTGCATGTTTGGTTCAAAAAGAGGAGGAGAAAACTGATTCCGTTGAAAATTTATGCGATACACGTGAAACTGAAAGCGACGATGAGAGCTCCGAAAGTGGGGACGATGATGATACGAGCGACGACGAAGGTGACGACGACAGCGACGGTGATAGCGACGACGAAGATGACGTAGGCAACAAGGACGACGATTACGTGGACGATCTCGACGAAAGAAATGAAGAAAAAAATTCTGCAACTGTTGTTGAGAGAGAGATTTCAGAGGCTGGTCCTTTACTGAATAAGGAGATTAAAAAGGATTCAAATTAAACTCCTATCAGTTACAATTCTGCTGATCTGCAAAGAGGATTTTGGTTACAGACATTGACAACAGCTGTTGGTCGCACGACTCTCCGCCCCTCCCCCTCGGAGTCCCACAAATGTCTAGCCAGTTTCACAATGGCCAGGAGTCGATGGATCTGCGATAAACTTTGATCATTAGTCAGCATTAATCTGGACTGACCCGGTTCAAATTTCTTTCGTTGAAATGGCAATCGATAACACCCACAATCTTAAAACAATTTGAACCACGCAGTGTTAAGTGTCTATTGTTCGGGTCCTGACATCAAAACAAAGAAAGGTTAATTTTTTGAAAATTATAGATATTTAGTTATTTATACAACACATACAAGTTATAGTTCTAACATATATCATTACTTAACTTAACTTACGAGGCTTACATTTCTTACGTAACAGGGATAACTAACAGAACTAGTCTTCAGTCGAACCGGTATTCAGCGACACCGTATGAAGCGGTCATACTGTATAAGCAATGGTTGCCAAAGTCCCTAATTTGTTTCCCCTCAATCACTATAATTTTCACCTATGTTAAACTGTTGCGGTCACCCTTTACCAAATTCCAACGATCTGATTGTATTGTCTTCCACCTGTATTAAGCGGTCACTTACAGCCCAACCACTCAAACTGAGAATAATCTTTCAAGTAATTTACAATCTATGTTTCTCTTCCAAAATCAAAGTAAGTAAGTAGTATTTTTGAGCGAGATTTTGTACATTGAGTGGTCAACTTTGGCATAAAATGGCGTTTTGTACCGTGTTTTATAATACCCCTTATCTGTAGAACCTGTATTAAGCGGTAAACCACTCCTCGTGGGTTACCGCCTATTACAGGTTGGACTGTAGTTTACCCAGCGAACACTGATATCCAACATGCACCTACAACGGATATACTTTCACGCCTTAACAGATATACATTACTCGCGCAGGCTACTGTTAATTTTGAAACAACTCAGGTCTGGCTAGTTACATAGCAGCAAACAATGATTGGATCTGTGATGGCCTTCGATAGCATTTGTATAGTTATCTATAGTTGTATAGTTGTATTGTTATCTATTTGCCGGTAGATAACATCAAAAATCTTAGAAAACTTGAATGACAAAAAACTTCAAAGGCCCCGTTGCTCAGATCGTACCCTCAAGTCGGAGAGGGCTCGTACGGACATTAAAAGCAGAAACAAGCTCGCTCTACTGCATCGTGCAGTCCCTTTTTAGGCCCTGCAGATTCCCCCCAGTTCAGATTTGCAGTTAGAACTTGGCAGCGCTGAGTTTGCTCTTACACCACGCTTCGAGAAGAGTAACTTTGGTGAGATCGGGAAAAATTTCAAATTTTTTTCAAGGCTCATTTTAAGCTGTCAACGACTAAAATCCTGAGGTATATCTGTTCTCACTGACCAAAAATAAAGGCTGATAGACTTCACGCATCTTTCATGCCGTTCAGTTATTCATATTTCTGCTGCTTCCTTATTTCATTTCCTGCTGGTTTTTTTTTTTTTTTTTTTTTTGCTTCAGCAAACCGAAAGCATAACAGGGCTTTTGTCTGCCACCTATCAACCACACTATTGTTCGCGTGTTTCGCTTGCGTGTCCTAAGAGTTTAGCAGCGCTTTCTGGAAGAGATTTGCGGGGCATACAGGTCACTCAAAGATGCAATCCACTTCGTAGTAACACCCTCTTGACTAAATTCATCAGAATTCTCTTCCAGGAAAAGTGAAAAGAAGAACTTATGTTCGGAATCACAATATTTGAAAAAGTTGTTCCATCACTGCGCTAAGCGTTGTCCAAAGTCAAAAACAATAGAAACGTGACTGGAAGCATGTTGTTTACTCTAGAGGGAATCAAAATGTTGCAAAGTGATCATTTTGATAAAAAAATACTTGACCTCTCAAATTGCGTAATTGTCTGAATAGTAACCAAATATGGACTATTGTCTATGTTAAGTTCAGTCTCTTGTAAACCTCGTCTAGGCGAGTCGCACAAAAATGGCGGATAAGAACGGCGACAAATCGAATCTTATTTTGAAAATCCTGCTCGCGATCTTTGTTCTGCTTTCGTTAGCTCTGCTTATTGCGTTAATTGTGGTCGCTACCAGAAATAACGAGGACAGCACTGCAGAAATTGGAGATTCAGCTCCCAATGTTGGAGACTGCTCCGAAACCACGGAGCTGAGTGCACCATCAAAGGCCTCACATGGGTGGAGAGAGCTCTACCAAGACTTATCCAAGGAGGAGATTATTGCAGTACGAGACTACATCATCAAGCAACCGTCCCTGAACGTAACAGCCTACGAAAATGCCAACATCAACGACAACTATATTTACTTGATCGAGCTGCAACAACCGGTAAAATCTGAAGCGCTTGCTTACCTTGACACGAACAACGCCCCGAAACCTGCACGGAAGGCTCGAGTGGTTTTGTACAATGGGGGGAAAGCGAACCCGGACGTGACAGAATATCTGGTGAAACCAGTCGAAAAACCTAGTCAGCACAAAGAAACGAAAGGCCCTGGTCAGAAATATCCGATCCCATTCAACACGCGATTCCCAGATCCTAAAGAGGTCGATTTCATGGGCAAATTAATTCGCAATTTAACCTCGCACCCTGGCGTCGATAAACTCCTCAAAGAGAGCACCGACGGTTACTCGATGTTGGATTGTGTGAAGCCAAAGTGTTTAACATGGGGCTCGGCTGCTCCTAGTACGTTCAAGATAAACGAGCGTAAAACATGGACTTGGTTGATGCGGGATTTGATTGGATATTACATTCATCCCGTGGGTTTTGAAATGCGTCTGGATACAAGCGGCAACGACTTGTCCCTCTGGAAAGTGGATAAAATATTTTACAACAACGCAACTTATGACAATGTAGATGAATTAGTGAACGCCTTTAACAGCGGATCGAAGATGCCTGTTTTCGAAGCGCCGGAAGAGAACGGAAGATTCTCAACTTATGAGCGACGTGGGAACAAAGAACCCGCCAAGCCACTTCGAAATCCTCAGCTCTACGAGCCCGATGGCAAGCGGTACACGGTCAGCGGACGTCACATAGAATACATGGGCTGGAGTTTTTGTTTCCGGTCGCGGACCTCCTCCGGTATCCAACTGTTCGACATCCGGTACAAGGGTGACAGGATTGTCTACGAGCTGAGCGCGCAGGAGGCTGAGGCGTTTTATTCCGGTTGGGCGCCGAAGCCGATGTTTACCAATTTCCTTGATACCGCTTGGAACATGGGATCCATGAGTTTTGAATTGCTTCGTGGTGTGGACTGTCCTAACACAGCAACGTTCTTTGATCTGACACATTTTATTGGTGTTAAAGAGCCAGCGGTGTACAAGAACGCGGTCTGCATTTTTGAACAAGACATGGGGATTCCCCTACGACGACATTATGACACTGATTTTCAAGGTAGCTACAACTTTTATGGTGGGGTCCCTGGGAGTGCATTAATCCTTCGAACAGCCTCGACTACATACAATTACGATTACGTTCTCGATTACATTTTCTATCCCAATGGTGTGTTGGAAGTGAGAACCACAACCAGTGGTTACGCACAAACTACTTTCTACACCCCTGACGAAGACCCCTATGCATACCAGATCCACCCCAAGATGGCGGGAAGCCTACATGATCACATCTTTAACTACAAAGTCGACATTGATGTACGTGGCACTAAAAACTCCCATCAGACTGTCGAGGTTGGCCTGGAAAACATCACTAATCCTTGGTTCCCCGGCGACCGACACGTACAAAAGATCCTGAAGCGCCGAGTTCGAACAAATGAGCGCGATGCAGTGTACCATTTCAATTTTCAGACACCCACTTTGTTAAATTTCTTTAACAGAGAGGAGAAGAACGCCTTCGGTGTCCATCGTGGTTATCGCATTCAGATCAGGGACATGATGAAGCAGATGATCCCCGAGGCATTTCCCATGATAAAGGGCGCGGCTTGGTCCCTGAACCAGATGACGGTCACGAAGCAAAAGGACTCCGAAGAGAAGAGCTCCTGTATGTACAATCAACTAGACATGGCTGACCCCGTGTTGGACTTCACAAAGTTTTACGCTGATAACGAAGGCATCGAAAATGAAGATCTGGTCGCTTGGGTCACCATTGGCATGATGCATGTCATGCACTCGGAAGATGTCCCCAATACAGCAACCCCTGGGAACTCTGCAAGCTTCTACCTGAGGCCCTTCAGCTACTTTGACGAGGATCCATCCATGGGGATGTATGACGGAGTCGTCATCAAGCCTAAGGCTGGTGGTGGCAGTGACATCGACACTCTGGGATCTCCAAAGACGCAGTCAACCTGTACCCCTAAGAACAAACCCATTGAGTTTTTTGGTCGTTATGGAAACTATTAGAGAACTCCCTCGAATAGGACATCTTCAAAGATTCCAAGGTTTACGCAGAAGGTATTAATTTTCCCTGGATTAGACGGGAAAATAATGAAATAGAAGTGTCTTAGATTTAGCTGAGGTTAATAACTTTTAGCGAGTCCTCTATACAGTAAAACGTGATTTTCAAATCAATAGAAATGTCTTCGGCTTGACACAACAGTTAAATCTTGCGTTGCGTGACAGCCCAAAAATAGACACCCATCTTCATTCTGTGTAGCATCAAAGA